ACCTTTTCTGGTTATTTTCACGGCTTTCGTCCACCGATTTCGCACCTTCGGATCGATTGGAAACGTGGAAATACTTACACTATGACTATACGCATTACTGCAACCGCCCACAACACAACGTTTAACCATCATAAAAGTTTGTTGTGAAAACAACTTCTAAAAATTCGCTCTCTCAAAAGTAAAATAAAATAGACAAAAGAAACGTCGATTAAAAAATGTATATCGTTTAAAAGTATAGTTGTACGTTGAATGACACAGTGATATAAAAGTACAGCCCAGGGGTATGGCTTCCTCTCATATTTTTGCATTTGGTGGCGCACTTTCGGCGAGAGTCGGAAATCCGGAAACAGTCGACCGTTTCAGGATAGGTGGGCGTGGCTACAGCACGGGAAATATCTTAAATTCACTTGGATACGAGTAATCATTTTCAGCCAAAAAATCAATAATTGCCCACTTCAGTGGGGCACAGATCTAAAATGGGAAGCGTGTGGGTGGGCATTGCACAGGCACTTTAATATATATTGTATTTTATTAGTTAATGCTACCTGCCAGGCTTTTAAAGGCCCATGAGCAGCATTTTGGTCAATTAATTTGATATTTTACTAGGGAGAAAGTGTAGGGTAAAATTATATCATGCTCATACTGATTAAACAAAATTTCCAACTGTTTACATACACATGAACTATTATCATAAAAATAAGCCATCTGATAAGACAACATTGCCATGTGTCATGGCGTGATTTTTTACAAAGTATATATGACATGAATTTAAAAATTGGCAAAAATGCAGCTCGTGCCACCTTAACAAATCTATGATAGTCTTTCACTTTTTATTTTTCAATTTAAATAGAAATGCGAGACTGATGAATAGTAAGTGAGCATGCTGAAGACCAAGGTTCCCATCAGTTTATACTTTTATCTTATATTGAGGACATGCTGACACTGAGTGAGAAATGGTACTGGGTTCAAATTAAATAGAATCAGCTACCACAGATGTGAGCTAGATTATTGTTGGATGAAAATATACAGAGATATTGTATTCAGTATTCACATACATAACATAAACAGAATGGATTATTATACCACTGTATTGTTTTTTCACTATAATAATCTTCATACATGGACTCAATGTAACACAGCATGAAGAAAGAATGTACACAACTTATATTGTTCAATACTTAGCAGTTACTAACTGGTAGCAAGGTGGTGTGACAGACCTCATAACCATATCAATGGTTGTCAACAATACACCATTTAGAGCAATTCGTGTGCCGGGGGGGGGGGGGGGTGAATGGCATTGGAGAATCAAAGAGAAAACGCGTATAATGAAATACGTGCACAAAATGGTCTTTAATAAAAATGAATATATATTCACCATAACGCACACATCAATTAACGGTAATTTAATAGTCGACAGGAAATGGTTCGACCAATTTAACGCCGTTTGCGTTTGACCGGAAAAACTAGAGGTTTGACTTGAGCGTTATGAATTATTACAGTGCATGTTTCAAATAATCTATTTGTGTATCACAAATGTTCCAAATCTGAGGCGGTGACTGTGTCGATTGACTACCATGTACGTCTAATTAAGCATGATTCAAGGTAGACCGCGTAATTATTAAAAATAATACAGCAGTATTTAAAGTTAGATCTATAAGGTAATTCTTCTTTCGTGGATGACATAATAAACAAGATCGCCATGTCTCTAGAGTAGCACGACACATCAATAAGACATATCACACTCCAACACACTCGTTTACCATGGTGTTTTAAATACAAGCCAGACAAATAGAAATCCAGTCTGTGTATACAAAATACTCACCCCAACCTTCAAAATCACTTCAATATCGAAACGACATACACACACTTTCTGCAGTCAACACTCAAAACGTCAACACGAGAGCTGTCACGCTAATATCATTCCGCAGTGTGATCGACTAATTACCAAAGACAAAATAGTTCCATAGGTGTTCTTATTATTCGGATAAAAAAAAAAAAAAAACAGATTTCAGATGCAGACATCACCTTTTCAACAACAGCCGTACTGTACATAAATTTTGCGCGCTGTTTCGAGGAAAGATTATGCAGCAAACAATATGATCGCGTAGTAAAATGGCTGGCGTGATGCGGCGTACGCCCTCACAGCTTGCAGAGGGTCAACGACGAGCCGGTTTTTGATGTTCTGCGTTAAGTTTAAATTTGAAATACCAATCATGGTTTAATAAATATTAAACATTTCGAAAATGTAAGGTTTTATTCAAGATAATGACGTGTCGTTGGTTTTGTGAAAATATAATGTCAAGGGTAATCGCACACGCACACGTGACCACTTACCAGCTGGTAAGGTGAAAGGTCATATGGGCATTCTTCGTTCTAGTTCTGTGCCCTTGATCCTGAAGATGTGTTACTCTAATTTCAATGTTTACTTTCAAACACCAAGATTTTAAAGTTTTAGGGAAGGTTTTTTTTCAGGATATCTACATAGACAGTATTTGTATTTAAGTTTAAAAGCCTACTCATAAATTAAAATGCCCAGAATTTATTCATTTTGCAATAAACTGTACTACAAAAATAAGCATATTGACTTGAAAAAAGTTAAGGGTCACCAGCCTCATTTTCAATTGACGATTATATTTTAGTGAAAAATCACCATTTTGGCACTATTATAATGCTTTTATCATAGGTTCCTATGGCAAAGATATTATGCAATATCTCAAAATCTAGCCTGGTCACATCATATACTGGTAGTGTTAATGAAGAAGTATATTTTATTGTTCTGAATTATTTAAAAAATCTGGGTTTTAAAAAGTGTCAAAAAATACAATTTTTCTAAACATAGCAATTTTTAAGAAATAATGCTATTTCATTGTAACATGAGACATTTTACATAATAAACTAATGAACATTGTCATGCAATTTATGACCAATATTGTCAAAAATTATGAGTAGGCTTCTACTTTAATAGCCCGCCCTCAATAACATGCACTTCAGATATCCCCCCCCCCCCCACTAATTATAGGAAGCAAAAAGGATAAAATTGTGGGCGTAGTGGGGTGTGGTATTTTATTCACATGTTCCAAGACAGCTTTAAAAATTTATTCAGTTTTCAAATTATATAGTCCTGCACATTTTGCTAGTCACCCAGAATTTGTTGACAAAATCCTCCAAGAATGAGGCCAGTAAATATTAAAAATCAAAGAAAGCTTAGGGAGAACTCCCATGAGATGAGGGTATTGAAATGTGTCTTACTTTGACCTCTGACTTGTCATCGTTTACATTAAATAAAAATTATGTACACATGTGCTTCAAATAGAGCAAATACGGCATTTAAAAATATAAATGTAAAAATGATCAGAGCGATACCATTGGCTATGGTATAACAATTATAATATTTAAAAACATTATGAGTATATATGAGGAGTTGATATTTCGGTCATATATCTGACAACACAATTATAGTACTAGTTGCATATTCCTATCTGCAACTGTTCCTATTAAAGATATTCTAAGTTGTGCATATTAATTAGATCACATGACCATGCTAGTCATATCTCTTGTCAAATGCCTTCATTAGAGCACAAGTTGCATGTCCTTATCAGCAAGTGCTTGACTTCATTTTCACAAAGTAGGGCCAGACTTTTTTTATTCCTTGTTTCTCGAGTTTTTGTGTGATTCTCAAAGAATTGTAAGTGCGATCATTGATCGGAGAGTAAAAATGAAATAAAATTTTATTTCATGTATAACCTTGTTTCTCATCTGCGAGACACTTTGGTACTTTGATCATGATACTCCCACAAAAATGCAACTTGGGTTTGTTATGCAGCGGGCGAAAAAAAAATGAAGATTAAAAAAAAGTTTTTTTTTAGCAATTTTTTGCACTTACAAGTCGGCAGGGCGGGTGTGAGAAATTACGCTGAAATAAAATTTTATTTTTATTTCATTTTCGTCTTCTGTTCATTCGGCGGGTTCGTGAAACAAGGGATAATAAAATTCTGGCCTAAGCAATTAATATACAGATATCCAAAAGCACCTATGCAGCAACTCAGTGAATAAAAGCACCTTCACTTGAACAAAATCGGTAAAAACATAACAGAAAAATGGTTTAGATACATGAAAATATTTTAACAACTTTTTGAATGAAATGACTGACACAAACGATGTGCATCAGTAACACACATTCCAACCAATGATCAAATTTTGTTTTTCTGGGACAAAAAGGGATGGCCACCAACCTATGAAATCGAGCAACCTATTCCTTTTGCCATGTAGCAAACTAAATCTGTAAACCTGCATCTCAGAAACATGTACCACTTATTTAAAAAAAAAGGCTATCGTTTATTTTGCATAGACATCTGCAACATATTAAGAGTGATGTCAATTGGGAATGAAATACTGGCCAAGACATGCCAGATAATTGGAATGTTCAAATGGTGATCTGGAGACAAAAATGGCCAACAGTTGGCCATTTTGAATCAAATCGCGAAAGAAACAGCGGTGCATCAGTAACACATTATGTTTGATGTTCATATCAAGTTTAAATAAAATTAGATGAATAATGTCTAGACCCACATCAAAAAAAAGCAGTCGCAACAACCCATTAATATTGTAATTTTTGATGCATCATCATTGTTTTGTACTTAGCACAAACTTTAAGATTAATACTGTAGAGGGCAGCATACACAATCAAATATGACAAATTCTGCCATATTGAGATATGTACATTTTGCTGATACTGTGTAAATATTTCAATTCAGATTTTTTAATTGTAGTCAAAAACTTAATACGCATGTATAAATCATAATACCGGTACATGTACAAGTGGCCCGACTGTCGAAATAGTTCCGCTGTGCTACAAGAACACTGTTGTAGCCAAGTCAAGCAACACAAATACCCACGAAAATGTAGTTTGGTTTTGGCTGTTGAGAAGACGACATTAAAAAAAATAAAAATAAAATAATCAGAAGTGTAGAAGTCAAAAATGTCATTTTTTTTACAAAATTACAAAAATATTTGCCAAAAATACAGAATAAATGATATTGGCACAAAATGGAAAAATCTGATAGAGGTCCAATCAAAGCACTTAAATATAACATCTCAAACCAATTGAGTCGGTAGTTCTCAAGAAGAAGTCGAAAATAGCAATGTTTTTTACCAAACATTACAAAAATATTTGCTAAAAAATACAGAATAAATTATATCGTCATGAAATGAACAAATCTTTTCATTTGCCACAAGACATTTCAAGCCACTTTTTAACAGTTCATCTTGCATATGCCTACACAGAAATATGATATGGATTCAACAACAGTAATTCTTCAGTTGATACAAGTCCAGCCTGTCACAATCCAAATAAAGTACACTACTCAGTTTAATAGTATTAAACTTTATTAACTCAAATTTTAAAGGTATAAACATAAACTAAAGAATAAACTACACTACATATTAAAATATAACTATAAATGTTTTTTTCTTTGGCAGAATAAAGTAGCATTTAAAACCCTGTCTTGAAAATAAGTTTTATAATATACATTGTATTTAAGTTACTACTTGAGTTTGCAAGATAGCGAGTGCCTAAGTGCAATGATACATTACCTTAGATGTTACGAGTGTAAAATGTTTATATACAGGGCACAAAAACTGATATTTAGGCAGTGACATTTTTATTGCATACCTTTTGAAATTGGTTTAACGGTTTTGAAGACAAAATGTAAACAGTTAACTACATACGACGGACAATCAGTAATATGAAGAGCTCTGCATCGTTGACTTTGTCGACAGCGGAGCTAATAAAAACTTATGTACTTTACTGATTCTATACAGAAATAGTTTGGTATTAAAAACAATTATTACTATAATATTAGTTACTATTAAAAGATCACTTGGCAATATTACTATGTGTCAGTAATTCAAACTTATTTCAAATATTTATGTTTAATGCAAACATAAGGTAAAAGAAAAAAATTTTCCATTAAAACTAACCATAAATATTGCTTACAAGAGTATATATAAAATCTGTTTGTACAATAACTGATATTTCACTTCAATTAGATTGTCACATGCTATCATGAATTACAATTCCCACAATTTGTCTAAGCTAACACTTTAATATCAGGTTTTTCTTCATCGCTGCCATCTACTACTTTGAAGACGCAAGATTCTGTGGTTGCTTCTCCGTCCACGTTTGAATGATGAGTATAGCTGCGATCTAGCAGCTTTTCCAGCTCTTCATCACTAAGAATATTGTCAATTTTGCTTTTCAAGATCCTATCATGGTTTTGGGAGCGCAGTAGTTTTAACAATTCTTCTGCATCCAGAACAGATTTGGCATCTTTCTCCAGGTTGTCTATACCTCCTTTAAATTTACCTTTATAATAAATATAAATTCACTGTCAACATAAATTCATCTCTCTCCAAAAGTGGCTTGTATTACTTTCTACAATGAGATACCAAGAATGTCATCACATCGCAGAGACACACAAAATCAATCGTAAATAAATGAATTTTTTGCACCACGGAAATTTGAATGTAATCAGTCCAGGCATGTCAAACAGAAGCGCAACGTACATTTGTTTTTCTAAACAACCGCTAGTCAGCCATCTTAAACTCCATCAGAAATATAAAATGTGCATCAATGTGGTTAATACATGTACCAAGTTTAAAAACAAATCTGTTAACACACTGAATTCCAGTTCTGGAATGGTGCAATGTTTGATTTTGATGCATTTTGGCCTTAAAATGGCTGCCACTCTGCAATCTATAAATCGCGGTCCTACTACTTAACGCACGGACACGCGAGGGAGTGCCCGGGCACGCGTGGAAGCCAACAGGGGGGAATACCTAACGCGCGGGGCAGCGGCAGCAATCCTTGTACTGAATAATATTCGTTTATGAGTGGCGAATTCGAGCAGCTATCCACACTTTTTATGATCAACGCCCGGGCATTCCAGCGAGTCGAGTCCGCCATGTTGTTTACTAATTTTGGTTAGCGTTTAACAATAGGACAATACCATTCGATCCATGGGGGTAACAGTCTTGCGAATATGCCGACATTGTCGAAGGACAATGACAGGACAAGTTTGTGGAAGTGTGGCAAGACTCGGGTAGTTACGCGGAAATTATTTACCTCATGTAAAAAAAGCATCGTTCTACTATACCCACATGACTTACCCTGATGGATGACCATTTTTTCCAACTTTCTTTTGGCCGAGGCCCTTTCTACTATCTTCTGATCAATTGTATTCTGTGTAACAAGTCTGAATACAGTTACAGGTTTATTTTGACCAATACGATGACAGCGATCTTGAGCTTGTAAATCAGACTGTGGATTCTGCAACACCAAAAATGAGAGGAATATTTAAAAGTCAAACGCCAACACACACCTCACCTAACTAACTACTCATGATAATGGTCTCAATTTTGTACATGCATTGTGGTAAACATAGCATAACTATTACAAGCATACCAATTGATATTTTGATATTAAATAGCAAATTTAGGATGGATACAAAATATTTAGGTTGTTTATCACACTGCGTATTCACTAGACTGAAAGTCTGGGTGATTTATGTCTTTTTAAAGTTTGAATTAAATAAAACAAGTCAGTCTAGGTTGAATTTTTGAAAGGTCTCTTTGTGCTCGTCATATTAAAGCGGAGGGGTTATTGCGAGCGTGTCCTTGAATCTAGATTCCCAAGTGGCTTATACAACAGATTGTTTACATACATCAAATTCAAACATGTGTTGTGTGATGACCCTTCAAGTTTAAGACATAGCAAAAAATCAAAGAAAGCTTAGAAAGAACTCCTGTGTGCTGGGAGTATTAGAGACACAGTAAAAATGTATTCAAAATTACTTGTACTTGAGATATTGATGAAAAAGCTGAAAACTAATTATACAAATCAGAAAATTAAAATGAACAGAGTGTAAAACTAATAAGGTCTGCGAAATGTAACAGACCATCTATGTATCAAGTTTCATTGAAATGTGATCAGAACCAAACAATTATGAATTATTATGCTAATTGGGGAATTTATATGAACAGATTTTAACCCAAAACTGATCATATTTGTACATTGTCCTAGAGCATCTATGTACAAAGTTTCATTGAAATGTGATGCTTAGTACTTGAGATATCAGTGTGAAAGTTAAATATTTATTAATTATGCAAATTAGGTGATTAATATGCATAAATATATACCAACTAATTGGCTCTCTGCATAGTTTAGATTCATTTAAAGGTGATTATTAGTACTCAAGATATCAGTGAAAAAGCTGAAAATTAAATAATTATGCAAATAAGTTAATTATTATGCACAATTATTTACCCCAAAACTAATCAGATCTCTGCATAGTCCTTGAGTATCTATGTACCAATTAGGTTATTAATATGCACATGTATTCCAAAACAATCGATCTCTGCATAGTGCTTGAGTATCTATGTACCATGTTTCATTGAAATGTAATGCTTACTACTTAAAATACCAAAATCTGAAAATTAATTTATTATGCAAATTAGGTAATTAATATGTACTGATATTACCCTAAAAACTACTAGGTCTGTGCAGTGTCCTATGACATCTAGGTACCAAGTTTCATTGAAATGTGATGAATAGTAGTTTAGATATCAATGGAAAAACCGAAAAATTTACTAATCATTATGCAAATTAGGTGATTAATATGCACATATTTTCACCCAAAACTAATCAAAACCTGGCATCAGTTCAGACATCTATGAACCAAGTTTCATCAAAATCCAATGAGTGGTTCTTGAGATATCAGTGGAACAGACAGACACACACACACAAACACACATACAGACAGGATAACTGCAAAGACTCATTGTGTGCTTCGCACACGGGAGTCAAAAACATAGATCACAAGTGAAAGCATGTCCAAGTTATCACATTTTAAACAAACAAGATGGTCGTATTTGATCAAATTGGAAATTGAATTGACATGTACATGTATCCATTTATGACATGCTAAATATCAATGAAAATGATACATCGGTGACAGAGATATAGTAATATGGCCAAAAATAAAAACAGCCGTTATTCGGCCATCTTTGATCTGATTATGAAACAAAGTGACATGTATGATGTATGTGCCAAATACGAATGAAAATGGTACATAAATCTTGGAAATATAGTAGTAAGGCCAAAAAGTCAGATGGCTGTCAATCAGCCATCCTTAATCCGATTTTGAAACTGGAAACTACATTTTGCTCGTATGTTTAATGTCTGCAGATGAATATAGAAATGGCTGACAAGTTGACCTTTAACGCGACCCACAATGTTTACTTCATTATGCAGTGCACCTCCCACACCAATTCCAATCAGATAAAATTGATTTTAAGTACATTCTTATTAGAAATGTACATGCAAGACAACCCATAATTTTATCTATGATACAGGCACATTAAAAATTTCTTGCAAGGTATTGGACAATATCAGAGCATATCAGTAATATTCTCAATAGTTTTACTCACCCAGTCACTATCATATATGATGACAGTGTCAGCCGAGGCCAGATTAAGACCTAAACCTCCAGCACGGGTACTCAATAAGAATATAAATGCATCTTTGTCATTATTAAAAGTGGAAATCTATAAGAAAACAAAATGCATGTACAACCATGACAAATTTTCTATATACAATCAAGTACTATTAAGTTGATTACAGGTTGAGCCTTTATTTGAAACTGAAATAGAAATTAGAATTTGATTGCGTTATGATGCAAATTTCGCACTGGTAGGAATGGGCCTTAGAGTATGGAATCCACTTGAAAGGTGTATTCTTATTGGTGATAACACTATGTGCACATTTGTAGCAATTGTGCTCAGAGGGTATTACCTTATTGAAAGACCTATTAGAATGTGATGTAATAGTTTCATGTTGGAAAAGGACTAGCAATAAAACAATCTATTTGGATGGGGAGTCTCCAGATTTTGTAATGGCGAGATAGGCTATCATTGAATGGCAATGGTCACTTTGAAATGATGCAAGATCAAGTAATTTGTGATCAAATCCCATTAAAAAAGTGACTCCAAGAATCAAGGATTTTATTGTAACAGAATCATGCAAATCAGCCATTTGTATCAACCACTGTTACTGTATCCTATTTTATGTTACCTGTACTAATCATGACATTGTCTTGTTGTGTGAACTTTGTTCCATTGCACATGTTTGAACATGATGATGCATAATTTGCAAAACCATGAAACCCCAAGTACAGTGAAAGTAATAGCCAAATTTTATTTGGAGCAAATATTTTGACATCCCAGTGTCATGTCGATAGATCATCAGTGCCTTGAAATTGTGAGCTACATCCAGATACAACATTAATCAACCTGGTGATATAGAGACAATTCGCTTGGCATTTTTATCAGGGAACTATGTATCTGAATTGCTGGCTGATTGACAGACTTAGGTTTAAGGTAGAGATGCACTTTATTTGTGACTTTCAATCAAAAATAGTTTTTTTTGTTTTTTATATAGATTTTTATCTAAAGAACATTCTGTGAAAATTTGACCAATGAATTCTTATTGGAACACCGTTAAAATTGCTATTTATTTTCTGGTTAAAAATAAAAAACACTCACACGTGGCAATGTTTATGTCCAATTGCCTAATTTGCATGAGTAACCAAATAACAAGACCTTTGATTGACAATATGCAAATCGAGATTGTACGGGTCATAGTTCATTCAATTCACGCGCATGTGCAATTATTCTCAAATCAGTTCTCGCTCGCTAGCAAACCAAACATTATATTTCCTCAGCGTTTTTTCTAATTCTATCATTACATTATGCGTGGTGTGAAAAG